TTCCGTGTTATTTGAAAGGGTAGCAGACGCGCAGGGTTGGCCTGATATACATTACCCTCTTATGCTGCAATGCACTCTTACGGGGAAAGCACAGAGAACGTTTTCTGCTCTCAGTATTGATGATGTAAAAGACTATGAAGATATAAAGGCGTCAGTTTTAAGAGCATTCGAGTTAATTCCAGAAGCCTATCGGCAGCGGTTTAGAGGGGACAGCGAAGACGTTTAGATCAAACCAATTTGGAGTTTGCAAGAGAATTGCGGTTACAATATCAACACTGGTGCGTCGCCTCCAATGCCTCCAATGTTCAAACAGTTGACAACATAACAGACTTGATAGTTTTAGAGCAATTTAAAGGAGCTGTATGTAAGAAATTTATTTGAATTAATCATAAAATGGCCTGTGATATGTCACTAGACATTGAGAAATCATGTTCATTTCAAATACTTATATCACTGACAACAGTAGTCCGGCCAGGATATTGTCATTCAAAAAGTGAAGTTGCAGCCCTCAACTGATGTTGATGTTGTCATGTTGTGTTTTGGTCTGTTGCTCCACCCTCCACCTATCGACCATTCACGAAGTCAGTAGTGTTGCGCCATCCGGGTTGCCAGCTCTGCTCTAGTTACCACAGCTGCAGCTACACACGTGTCGGATAAAAAAACGCAGCCGATCTGGCAACCTCGAGTCAGGGGGGAGGGGGAGGGGATACACCGCTCTACAGTAATTTGAAAGTGATTGCAGTACCGGTTTTGGCCACAATCTTACATACAGCTCCTTTAAGAACACATTGCCAGAGCGTGTTGCGATATATATTGCTGAAAAGCAGGCTGTGAACGAGGCTGATGCTGCGATGTTGGCAGATGAATATGAACTAATGCATAAAGCTCATTTTGGCGAACGTCAGCGTTCAACAAATGGACAAAGAAACGTGTTTTCTTTTCGTAATAGAACTTCAAATGTTAATCCTCTATCGGTTATTCAAGACCGGTCAAGAGTTACATCTGATGCAGAGAAAGTTTGCTGTTATTGCCAAGGAAAAGGTCATTGCAAAGGGAACTGTCCTGTGTTGAAGTCAAAGAACAAAGCTCGTTTTTCGTTTGTGAAACCTGCTGCTTTGGCTGTGTCGCCTGTTAATTCAGATGTTGTACTTACTAACAAACTGAAGCCTAATTACTTGTCATTTATTTCAGATGGATTTGTTTCACTGATTGGAAATGAGGAGAAGTTTCCTGTAAAAAATCTTGCCTGATACGGGAGCATCAGAATCCTTTATTTTGGAGCCGTTTTCTTCTTCCTCAAGGTCTGGGAGATCTCTTTTGGTGAGAGGTATTGATCTTAATACTTTAGAAGTCTCTTTACATAGGGTTGTGCTCTTCTCTTTGTTGGTAGAGGGGGAGGTTTAGTTGGGGGTACGCCCTGCCCTCCCTGTTGATGGTGTGTCTGTTATATTAGGGAATAATCTGGCTGGCGGGCGTGTTTGGCAGAGTAATCCTATTCCTGTGGTGACTGATTCTCCTCAGTTGAGGAATGAATCTGATGACTGTTGTAAAGAGTTACCTGAGGTGTTTGCGGCTTGTGCTGTGACTCGCGCTGCTAGTCGCGCTGAGGTGGAGGCCCTGGAAGTTAAGGTTACTGCGGAAAAAAATTAGGTTTGCTTTACCAGATTTTCCCTTGTCTCTTTCTCAAGAAGAGTTAGTTAAGGAGCAGCATGCAGATCAATCCTTGTCTTCATTGTTTGACCGAGCTGTTGCTGCTGAGAGTTTTGAGAGTGTGGCTTATGGTTATTTTGTTCTAGATGGTTTGCTGGTGGGAAAGTGGACACCCTCAACTAAGGATGCACTGGGGGAACCATGGTTTCAGGTTGTTGTGCCTACCACCATTCGACAGCTGGTGATGAAGACTGCTCACAACATGTTGGGGCATTTGGGGGTGAGAAAAACATATCATCGCACTATGCGTCATTTCTATTGGCCTAAATTAAAGAAATATGCTGCGGCCTATATTAGAACCTGTCACATATGCCAGATGACGGGAAAGCCAAATCAGGTTATAAAGCCTGCACCTTTGCATCCAATACCTGTTGTGGCTGGTCCTTTTGAACATCTACAATTAGACTGTGTAGGGCCATTAGTTGGTGCTAAAAGTGGGTCTAGGTATCTGCTGACCGTAATGTGTCAGGTAACTCGTTATCCTGCTGCCTACCAACTACGCTCTATTCCTACTAGGTCCATTGTAAGGGCTATTTTTCACATTTTTTCAATATTTGGAATACCAAAAGTTGTCCAGACAGACCAAGGCTCCAACTTTGTGTCTTTGCTCAGGTTTTACGTCAGCTTCACATTAAGCCTCTGGGGTCGGTGGTATCGCCGGCGAGAGCAGCTCACTTTTTTTCTTATAAGTGCAAAAGAAACTCAAAATAAAGAAAAATTAACATGATGCGAATATTGCCTTCTCTCTGTCAGTGAAGTCCATTCTGAAACGCGTCCGAAAATGAACTGTAACTCAGTAAATACTTGTAACAGAGACACGAAAGATGCGCTGTGAGGAATAATAAATCCCCACCATTCATCACAATACTATCGTAATAATCCTGGAAAAGTTACCTCAGAAGTGCTGGTAGTTTCATTTCTAGGAGCGGATTCAGCTGATGTAGTAAGTTATTTCTTAAGTGTTTATTGAATAGTGTCTGTAAACTGCACAAAGACTTTTTAAATATGAATTGAGTGTCTGTGTGTGAATGAGTGAACGGCACAGACGCGGCCGATGTTGTTTACTACAGCTGTACATCGCATCTGTGCGTTCATTCACTCTCGCTCCTACATTAGTAAACGTTATTTTTACATGAACACATCCAAACTATATTGCTATAGCCAACTGAGATTTGTTCTAATCGCGATATAGGGGGTCAAACACAGTATTAGCATGGTGTTCCTAATAATCCTTTAGGTGAGTGTACACACACAAACACACACACACACACACACACACACACACACATAAACTGTGTTCCGAAGATGAACGGAGGTCGGGCTTGGAACGACATGAGGGTGAGTCATTAATGACATCATTTTCATTTTTGGGTGAACAAACCCTTTAAGGCCTTCATCAGACATCATGAACAACTGGTGGCTGTCCATCCCGTCCCGTATTCCACCATGAGAAATCTGGTCACTCTACCTTTGGGAAACTTTGTGTCTAAAGTAAAAATCTAAAAAGTTTCCCTGATTCACATCAATATCTCCTCCTCGGCCTATTGAACGAACTTGTTCAATGCCAAAGCCAAAACAAAAGCTCTTTAAAATGTTGTGCTACCAGTTTACTTACAACTCCAGGTACTTGTGCCAATTTTTAAACTATGCAAAAGTTTCAATTTTTCTGACCTCAAATGAAATCTCTGTTGAACAGATACGCTTTATTCTATGTAGCTGGCTTACTGGAAGGCTTATACCCTTCTTATGATGAGTGCACTCGACAACGTCCATTATGGTTTTGGACACCACTACAAATGGCTGTCCCCTCAAATAATGCCTTGAGCTAAATCTGCGCAGAACCTGTCACCGCGAAATGCATGCCGGTTAGAAATGTGTCAGAGTGTGTGTCGCCTTGCTCTGATGTCCCGCTGATGTGTGCCAGAAAAGCCAAAAAAATACCAGGCGCCGTGCCGGATTCTGCAGTCGGGAGCAGTTGCTCTCCACCGACTGCGCTGATCAAAAGCACGGTGGGAAACAACTTGCTGACGACACAGCTTAATGCTCATTGATCTAAACGACCGTGATGTATAGTTCTCTTTTAAAATGTTTGATTTTAAAACTCTGATATCATGTTTTTTGTTAATAGTGTCGTCAGCAAATCGTTTCCCATCATGCTTTTGATCAGCACAGTCGGTGGAGAGCAACTGCGCCTGACTGCAGAATCCGACATGGCCGCCTCGCTGTCGCAAGAGTCTTTTGACATAAAAGTCAGTCAGTCAGTCAGACCACACTCGGACACACTTTTAACCGGCATGCATCTCGCGGTGATCATCGGTGATCGGTTCTGCAAAGATTTAGTTCATCGCATTGATGTCTAAACATCAATTGTGTGTTTGTGTCTTATTGACATATTGTTTTATGTCTTTTAGTTTTCTTTTAAATGATATTACTCAGCACAATGGTCAACCACTGTTGTTTTTATTGTGCTTCATAATTAAATTCAGCGCAGCCGCTCCCACCATGCGCTGTGCGTAGGGCACCAAGTGCTGAGGGGGCACCAAAAATAGCCTAATGAAAAATAAATCATCAAAGTCATAATAATTGCTGATATTATTTCAGTATAGAAATATTATTAGGCACTTTTTAGGCATGTATATAACTAAACAGGCGGAACAAGAGTATTTAATTGCTCTAGAAAGTAACGATGGCGCCTCCCCTCCCCCTTAAAAAGTTAAACTGGCAATAACAAACGTTTTTTTCTCGATCATAAAGGAATTATGCTTAGGGGAACAAAATGGCTAGCAGCAGCACTGAATACATTCATTGATTGATCTCAAACAAGCCTTTTGTTTGTGTAACTGCGGTTCCATGAGTTTATGCTGTGTCAAGTTTACACTCAAGCCAAGTTTCAAGTTTGTTCAGGGTCATTGTTTTGTTCTGTTTATGTTATATTCATTCACATTTAGCCTGCTTTAATAAAACTACAATTGGGTTCTACACAACTCATCCTCAGTGGACTCAGTTACACTCTAACAGAATTAATTTTAAAGCATTATCTGTTGTGAAGGGTTATTTGTAGCACTGTGCTGGAATTTATTCTCAAGAATGTACCGTGTCTATTAATGGGTAAAACTAGTGACGTCTTCAGCTCGTCAGCTTGAGATCCTTTCCTTCTAAACTGGTTATATCTCTTAAGCCTAGTGGGGAATGTTTTATGAGCAGTAGGAAAACCATATTCATCCGCCTTTATGCAAAGCCTAAGCACAACCAAAACAACGTTCTTCCGCAAAATGCACGCATGCAAAGGCTCAACCTTTTAATTTTATTGATTTATTTTTAAAATACAAGATAGTGATCCACATAAACTTTAACATTCCAGATGTCTTAAATATTAATACATTAACAACATATATGTTTACAATGTTTACAGTAAGGCATTATAAATAGAAAAAAATTAGGACATTCTACAGCTCTTAAAACATTGCTATTGTAAGCCAACATTTATATTAAAGACACTGATATTTATTCATTCATTTTAACATTCATTTTTGTAGCAATCTCAGTACTTAATCCATCCTGAAATCCTTCATTGATGGTAATAACAGTTTTCTGTATCAATACCCTTTATATATTGAAATCTTGTTTCTGTGCAGAAGTTGATGGATTGTTTTGTTTTCAATGTCTCCTTTATGAGGGCCGCCTTTATAGTGAGTGCGAGATTTGTCAAAGTAATGATGCCAGGTTCCATTACTTGTAGCTCCAAACCCAAAGACATTCACCTGTGTAAAAGACAGAGCTGTCAGGAGTTTTGCCATTTCAGTGTAGTCACTTGGACTATTTTACCAATGTTTTTACTAACTTTCTGGGCCGGCAAGTTTCAATTACAATAGAAGCCTATGGAGGAGTGAGACAGCTCTCAGATTTAATCAAAAATATCTTAATTTGTGTTCCGAAGATGATGGAAAGTCTTACGGGGTTGGAACAACATGAGGGTGAGTAATTACTGACAGAATTTTTGGGTGAACTAACCCTTTAATGCAAAAAAAAGTGCACGCTTTGTAATATGAAGGTTGGGATAAAAGGCATATATGCAAATACAAAATGTTAATACAATTAATGTTATTTTATTACAGAATCAGTGGATTGTAGAGTTGGGTGGGTGCGTGCAGGCATTATAGGGTCACCGTGATTTTGCCAAGCAAGGCATGTTCCTGGATCAACATATTTTGTTGAAACTGGAACAATATTCCAGTCTGAAAGTAACCCTATCCCTACCCCTAAATCTATGACCTTCCCATAACTTATCCCTAAAATCAGAGGGAAATGACAGGTGAATAACGCTGATGTAGAAGCACCTAACCCTGGTTGTAAGCCTAAATTTGACATAAACTGTAAACTTGTTTTTCCAGACCAGGATCAACAAAGATGTTAATCCAGAAACACACAGTAGGCTATGAGTAGCGTGTAAATAGAGATTAGGAAAATATTTTATTAGTTGCTACAAAGTGCTTCAGGCATTTAATAGTGAAAATTTGCACATGCAAATTATTTTGAACTTTTTTTTTTTCTATTTACAGAAACCCTGTTGATATCATAAGCAATCTTAAACTGAAGCATCATGTGAAAAATGTAAACAGTTTTACCTGATCACAGACATGCAGGGCAAATAATATCGTAATGAAGCCAGTAGAAGGATATTTGCCATTTTTCTGCAGCCATTTCTCAAAGGTGTATTTTATAAAAGCAGGGTGGAGGATCATCACCTGGACAGAAACCAAAACATTTATGAGATATTCATCTATAGATATATAGGGCTTAAAAATTAGTTTCATTCACATTGATTTAATGACATGGCCACTTACCTTGTTCTGGTTTGCTTTGATTGAAGATTTGACTCGTGTGTAGGTGCTGAGAAACAAAAATATATAGACAATCTTTTATTTGCTTTCATGTTTTTTTAATTGCTTTTTTAAACAGTACTTACCGTGTGATGTGTCTAGTGGTGAAGGTGCTTATGAGCCACTGCATATCACGAATCTTGAAGGGAAAAAGCACCAGATGGGTGTTGTCATCCAAGTCCATAGCGCTCTCGGGATACAGAATCCGGTGAGTGGTCTTAGACCCCACGTCCTTCTCATAACCTTTTGTCGGGCCTTTATTTATCCTGAGAGAAAAACAGGCAACAGGTATTGAGAGGCTACCAAAAGAAGATTATTGCTGAAGATATACCACGAACATGGTTGACAACCACTGCTGTATAGAGAACATTTATCAGATTTATTCTGTGTAATAATCTGTTCTTCTAATACCTTATGACTAAGTCATGGCTGTCTATCAGTTGACCATAGTTGGACTTCAGGAGGTTCCCAGAGTTTCCCACCACAGCACAAGTTCTGCAGCGATCTGGACCAGCGTCTGAGTAGTGTTCACCATCGGGGAAGAGAGAAAACAGCTGGTCCACCACCTCTGTGTAGTTGACTCTGAGCTTTGACGGTTGTAGACCCTATAGAAATATTCAAAAAGATCAAAATTAGCATCAAGACATCAATCTTGTTTAGATAATTAGGCTATACTGGTTTTAATTTCACTGTCACATTAGGGTGTTCCTCAACTGACTGTTGTTTCAGATTTCTGCATACATCCTGATGACAACATACATCAGGAGGTTAAGCTTACTAAAACTATAGTAACTATTCCTGATGCATGTTGTTATCAGGATGCATATGCAGAAGCCATAGAAGATAAGCAGTAATTATTCTGGCACAGAATATGTCAAATGAAAAGAACTAGCTACTCATAAATCGAAAACTGCCATTGTAAAATATTCAGTTGGTTGAACTTATAAACCTGCTGCCATAAAAAAACAGGAGTAAACTCAACTGGAAGATAACCTGGCTTAGTTTCAACTATCACTTAGCTATTACAAATATGCAAATAGTCTAAACGTCTGTTTGCGCGCGCGCACACACACATATAGGTTTTGTGTACATTTATTTCATTTGGCGTAAAATGAATCATAGTATTTTAAAGTCAAAATATTTTAAAGTCTTACCCTCCACCATTTGTTCGTGTCTCCAAGTAACACGCTGTTTTTTCTGTTGAGGAGAGCTGGTATGGTGGGATTGTACCGATAAATGAACCAGTCATCGTCCAGCAATCCCATGACGCAAGTTTTACAGGAGCATGAAGGTTCGAATATTAAATCATCAAATGAGTCTGTGGTATCGTCCATCGGGGCGTTTTGAGTGTACAGAAGAAAGATGGCCATGCAGCTTAAAGTCAAGGTGATGTAGCGAGGTCTGTTGAAGAATTGCATCTTTTGCTGGCGTGTTCTGGACGAATGAAGTTTGGTTACTAAAAAAGACAGAAAAATTACGCATGATTTACATGATAGTGCCATAGCTTTAAATTACTGTTAAACAGTTCTTTGTGTAAAGTTCAAACCACCGCACTGTAAAAATTTACTCATCACAATCATGTATAACTTGTCCTCACGGTAATTTCTGTCCTTTCTGCACGAATTGTCACGTTAAACTCGACTTTCGATTAGTAGCCTAATTCAAATATAGTGGAATAAAAGGGCATTGTAACTTTTTTTTTCTTTTTTTTTAAATACGCATTATTAATTTAGAAATACATCCTTTTGGGAAAAGAATTGAATATTTTTTAAATGTATTTATTAAAGCATAATTAACGTTAAGTTAATTAATTAAATTGTTTCAGATATAGGCTTATTTCATAAAAAATAAAAAATAAAAAAATAAAAAATCAAACTGTTTCACCATAGAAGTGTCCGCTCAGGCCACTATCACAATATTTTATAAACGTTAAATTTCAAAGGCAAAAACATTAGGTTGATTACACTGATCGAATTTAAGTACACACTGAGAACATAAGACAATTACATTTCCGCTGTATATAAAAGGTGAAACTTACCTAATTGATAAGGTCAGGCTGGCAGGTTTCTCGTATTTCTTATAAGTATTTATTGTATAGATGTATTATGGCCAGGAAACATATGCAATACTCAGCAATATGTTTAATTTCTTCTCATCTGAATCATTAGAGCATCTGAGTGCTGAGCTTCACTTCTCCACAAACCAAAGACAATTTAATGTTTTTCCCTCAACTTGTGGAACGGGTTTTACCTGCTCATACCCCGGAGTATGCTGTCAAAATAACATTATCAAGATATCTCAGAAATAAAAAGCCAATGCAAGCTTCTGGTTTTTGCATGCTTCTGGTTTTTGGTTTAAAGAAATGTAAAAATGCAGCCCAAGAGAAACTGGTCTGAAGAGAATTGCTTGGGCTTTAAAAATAGCTTTGAGGTGAATTTGTACTGTCTTCAAACTTCTGCACACTTTTTGCATAATGTTAGGGGAAAGGGAGGGGTTATTGACACGTCAGAATTCTTCAAAAGGTCAAGCACAGAAGAAAACGTACGAAAGCTGTCACTGGGAGGTACCTTTAGAAAAGATATCTCCCGTGACAGCTTTCGTACCTTTTTTTCTGAGAGTGAAGGATGGGCGTTGATGCGCAAAGATAATAAACATTTGCATTTACGCATTGTGTGTGTGTGTGTGTGTGTGTGTGTGTGTGTGTGTGTGTGTGTGTGTGTGTGTGTGTGTGTGTGTGTGTGTGTGTGTGTGTGTGTGTGTGTGTGTGTGTGTGTGTGTGTGTGAAACTGTAGAAATGACATTACACATAACATAAATTAAAGTACTTAATTTATAGTATTATAGTAGCCTAAACTAGGCTTTGGGTAGCCTATACTGTAAAATAAACAGTTCAAACGGAGTAAAACCTAGCGGGGGCATTAATGTTTAATCAATTTAATATGATTTTAAACTATAAATTAAATTGTGGTATTTGAGGCGTATTACTAATTTGTAAATTATATTAAAATAACAATGATTATTATGGGAATCAAAATAGCCCCCATCCGTCGATGTCATTCATTTTCGTGTGAAATGAGAAGTGATTGACCTAATCAGTTGTTTGTGTGACAAGATTGACCAGTTCTTGCTCCGCCAGTTCACAATAGCACACTAGCTCTTACACATTCCGAAAGGTCCACAGAGACGCATTCAACGCTGGATTCAAAACTGGGATTTTTTATTTAAAGGCAAGAAAGTAAGTAAATGTTTTATTTTTATTTCATTTTTCTATTAATTTCTCAAAAACCGTAATTCAAGATTTTAGTTAAATGTCTGATGCATATACGATGTTCGGGGTTGTAATTAGATGTTGGGGGGGCACATACATACATACATACATACATTTTCAGTCCAATGTTATAACAAAGAGAGATAAACTATTCTTCTTTTACTACCTAAAGTAATGCTGGATTTAGAGGGTGACAAAGCAGCAGACCCAAAAGGGCAACAATGGCAAATATACCAGGGCACAACATATAAGGCACTTGAAGACCCGTAAAAGCATGTGACTTCAAAATACATTGAAATGTCTCAAAAACAGTAGAAAATAGTCAGATGGCTTCCAGACTCACTGGATGGTATCACTGTCAGATTCAACAGTGGCACAGGAATAATTATTTCATAATGTCTCAGAAAGCAGTGACAAAGGAGCAGTCAGTAACTTCAAAAGGATATCTATGTTCAAAACTTTTTTATTACTTTAACAGTAGCAAAAGGATGGAAAAATACTATCAGGCTGTAATGATACTGAGATTAGGTATGAACCCAGGTGCGGGAGGTGTAACAGTCTTCAGTGTCACATGATTCTTCAGGAATAATTCTAATATGATGATTTGATGACCAGCAAACATTTAGGATTATTATCAATGTTGGAAACAGCTCCTATTTGTGTGGAAACCGTCATACATTTTATTTTTCAGGGTTCTTTGATTGATGAAGAAAGTTCAAAAGAAAAGCATTTATTTGAAATTAAATCTTTTGTTAGGCTACATTAAATGTCTTTTTGTCACTTTTGATCAATTTAATGCAACTTGAATAAAAGTATTAATTTATTAACCAACATTTAAAAAAAATAAAAATTTGTACACAACTGTTTTCAACATTGATAATAATCATACATGTTTGTTGAGCATCAAATCATCATATTAGAATGATTTCTGGAGGATAATGTGATGAAGACTGGAGTAATGATGCTGAAAATTCAGCTTTAATCACAGAAATAAATTATATTTTATTGTATATTATTATTTTAAATTGTAATAATATTTCATAATATTACTGTTTTTACTATATTTTGGATCAAATCAATGCAGGCTTGGTGAGCAGAAGATACTTTTGAACGGCAGTGCACATCCGACAGAATGATTCTAGCTTTATTTACCAATGTAGTACCCTAAAAACATCAGGATGATTGATGTGACACTGATAATAATAAAGATATTAAACATATAAATTGTGACAAAACAGGCTGTCAGTCTAATTAATAATAAAAAAAATAGTAACTTAAGGCTTAATGTTTCCAATTTATGCAAGGAATCCAAAAGTGGATAGATATAGTAGAAAGATATATAGAGAGAGAAAATTACCCCTCAAAAAAGTCAGTAGAAGCTTTCTCTGCCCGACTGCGAGTGGAGGTTCATTATTCTCCCATTTTTTAAAGCTAAAATTAGCTTCACCTGAGCTGCGCCAATCAAGCAGTCCTGTCACCGCTGTCATGCGCACAGCGCTCTTTATGCCGCGTTCCAGGCAACCTGTCACCCCCAATTTCCACCAACTGCGGAACGGCGGCGGAGTCAATAGGTTTCCACTAAAGTCAATGTGTGCATTTTCACTGACTGCGGAACGGCTGCGTTCCGACTCCGTCCCAGCTCCGGCGACCGCAGCCCTCCGGAGAAGATCATAGACAGGAGAAGATACGCAGAGTTTCTATTTTTGCCGGATGCCGGAGAGCGCCGCAGGAAGTCGAGCACAGAAACTAAATAAAACATCCGGTAATTTCGAAAAAAATAAATATAAAGTTTTCCCTTTTCCAACAAGAACAATAGTTAACTTTATTTTCACAGCCTACTACTTTCTCAATACATTCAAAAAGGAACCCAAATAAACATTTAGCATATGTTATACGTTGATTATATTTAATTATAAATATTGTAATCACAATAATCTCCACAAAAAAGGGAGATCAGCAGGTCAGCACATAGTTGTTTCCCCTGTACTCCTCTGGATGGAAACAAACTGTTGCTGGTTTTGTGGTTCTGTTTATAGAAACTACATCCTGTTATATCGCGCGATCAAACGTAAATTCGCGAGATATCGTGTGTCCTCGTGACTTCAGCTGTCAGTCATGGCCGCAGCCGTTCCGCAACAAATCTGTGGGTGCTTCCATAGACAGTAAAAGAAATGGACAGAGCCATCTCATTGGAACTCAGTTGAGACAGTTGAAGCCCATTTTTAGCGATTTCTGAGCACTTCCGTTCCTGACGCGCAGACTCAAACCGACTCAAACTAAGCTTGATGACGTGAGCAACCTGTCTGACAGACGTTAATCTTCTAGTAGCTGTGCCAAGAGGAATCTGAATCATTCCCTTCCGAAACTTGCAGAGCCGGAGATCGTGAGTATTAGCTGTCCATGAGCTAGCAGCAGGAGCAGCTTTACAACTCTCTATGGGCTTCTCCCTTGACTTTATGCCTCGACGTCCCCCCGATTGCGCGCGAGTTTCTACTTCTGTCTATACGGTAATTTCTGTACAGCGCGACAGAGAGTCGAGTGGTTATGACGCAATCGTTAGCCTATTTTTACTAAATCTGTTTCTACGGGGCCATAACGTAACATAGAAGGTAATGGAGCCTTTTATACATTGTCGTGTTTCTTTAGAAATAAATAATGGACAAATGGAGTCTTTAAACGCCTCAGATGTAAAGTTATTCGCTGTCAAAGTGACGCCAAAATGAATGGGAGTCAATGGAAATGCTAACGCAAGTGAAGTTCTGCTACAAGATGGCGGCACCCGGCCGACTTCAACTTCCGGTCGATGGATTACCCCCTTGGGTGCTTCTCATTTCTTATTTGTGCATCCTCGTTTCCTTTCCTCGCTTCCTTTCCTCACGCCTCAGCTCCACCCCCTGTAGGACGCGAGGGAAGGCTGCAAGGAAAAAAAAACGAGGACGGAGGAATTGAATGAAAGCTTTTTTATACATTGGAATACTTGATCACTCGAGCGTCACTTCACTGCGTCATCAGCAGTGCTCAAAGGATCTGCCCTTATGTTGTTAAAGTTTGTTTATTTAAGAAATTCATCAGAAATAATAATAAAGCAAGATACCTTGTTGAAATATGTGAGTTGTGTGGTTTATGTAAACTACAAAAGTAAAGTATAAATTCAAATGATTGTGACAGATGTGAAGGGGGAGGAGA